TTTTTTTTTTTTTTTTTTTTTTCCCCGTTCCGTAAAAAGTGTAAATTAGACTTTCGGGAGGTGTATTCGATGTCCCAATAATAAGAATAATTTATTATATTTATTTTGTTCCAAAAATTGCAACCTCTCCTCGATTACAAATAAATCCATCTCACTTTGGGCTCTCACTTTGGGCTCTCACTTTGGGCTCTCACTTTGGGCTCTCACTTTGGGCTCTCACTTTGGGCTCTTCCTTTGGGCTCTTCCTTTGGGCTCTTCCTTTGGGCTCTTCCTTTGGGCTCTCACCGGAGGTTTTTAAAATATGATATTGTCCTCGAGAGGAAGGAAGAAAACCCTTCCCCGGAGAGGTTTAGGGAAGAGAGACATTCTTGACCAAATCTCAATCTAGATTTACACTACCCAACGAAATTCACAATTTAATTGGATATTATTTTATATATTTTAATTATAGATTTAAAAAATGAATTTGTTGTAGGAAAATTAAAGAAAATATATACAAGAAAAGCCGGACAAAATGACGACAAGAGAAGCTTCCATCTATATGGGAATCATAGAAACAAAGTTTCTTATATGCTTTCATGTGGGCACTCCAAACATTATATTCTCAAAATGTCTCGGTATAACTAACATATTTGAAATTCGAAAGCCTGAAATTCAAAAGCCTCTTATTTTTACCTTTAAAATGGTGGATTGAACTAGAAGATAAGGATTGTTGTACTAACTTTCGAGCAACAAAAATTTCCTACTTCATATAATCTAATAAGTATTGTTTTATTTGCAGACTTTTAAGATATTATTCAAACCGAAAGCGAGTAATTAAAAAGAGAGGGTTGCGGAGAGAATAATAAGAAGAAGAAGGTGTCACAATTACAGTTACAATTACTTGTCCTAAACGCAAACACTCTTAGTTTTTGACCTAACAGACCGGACAGTTCTTTAGTAACGAATTACTTGGCTTTAATATTCAACTAATTAATTATAATACTCAATCTATCTGCCTTAACTATAATATTCACCCGCCAACTTTGACAAACACCGAATGTCAAAGGTCAACACAGTCATTTCCTCTTCAATATCTAAATCTCAGTTACAAAACTAATCTCTTTGTCCTTTCTCTCTCGTCCAATGATTCTTTTCAACCATCATAATGATTTTTTTTAATCATTTTCTATTTGATTGGTGGCAAAATATTAACATAAATATTAAATTCCAAAAATACTGTTGTATTGATGATGATATTCCAAAATTAAAAATAATAATATAATAAAAAAAAAACATAAAAATTCAATGCAATGAACTAATTATTGTGTGTATCCTACAACACTAAACATAAACAGCATATTGATTCAGCTCGATTGATCCACCAAAGCTGTCTGAAATTATATGAACACCAAGAAACAAAAAAAAAAACAAAAACAAAAAAAAACATGGCAGTGTAATCCTATCCCTATGATCCACACAAAACACCCCCTTCAGTTCATGTGATGCAAACTCCCCCTTCAATTGTTGATCTGGAACAAAAAAAAAAAGAAAAAAAAAAATCATATTAAATTTTTTAGGTTTCTAATAATTCATAACTTAAAGCTAATCTTGATTAAACAAATAGCTTTTCTCAAATCCACGATAGAAATCCAAAATATTAAATAGAAAAGGTTTGATTTTTTTAAAAAAAAACTTACAGTAAAACTCTAGTCCAGTATGATACACTTGGTTCTTCGTTCATCATAGACTCCAAAGTGTCGAAAATTGGTGGTGGTTTGGGGCGGCCACAAAATGGATATGTTCCACACTCAATTTGGTTGACATTTGAAGTTGAACCAGGCGACTCACAAATCAATGGAGGAAGTGGATAATAGTTCACATCCCCAGTGTGTAACCCAACCAACCCATTTTCAAAACCCGACACCGGCGTCAAACGGGTCGAAAAATCTGCCTGAAACTGGCTAGAGTAAGGGTTAGGGTTAGGGTTTGGAGGTTCATTAATGGTGGTTGGGTTTAGAAGATGGCATATATTGTCCAGGACTTGGAGTTTGGCTATTTCTGTTTGCACCTTTAGATAGTCGCTGTTTAAAGGATTGTTTATCCCATTAATCAGCGGAGAAAGGTTGAGCAGGTCTGTTCTTGGCTTGTGAGTCGTTGGATCAATACCCATTTGGAGAAGCTTCTTCTTCAAATGGGTATTCCAAAAATTCTTAATTTCATTATCCGTTCTTCCCGGAAGATGACTAGCAATTTTCGACCACCTGAAAATTCACCGTAACCCATAAGCTAAAAGTACGTTTGAATTTCAAATCATTGAAACATACCTGTTCCCAAGTGTTTTATGAAGCTCAATTATGGAAGATTCTTCTTCCTTGGAGAAATTCCCTCTCTTAATATCGGGACGAAGATAATTAGTCCATCTCAACCTGCAACTTTTCCCGCACCGATTCAAACCAGCACGCTCCGGGAGAGCTCTCCAGCTTCCGTGGCCATTTTTAGCCACGAAATCGATCAACTTCTCGTCTTCCTCCGGAGTCCATGGCCCCTTTTTGATACCATGTTCATCACAGCAAGGAGATCGACCCATCTTCAGAGAGAAGCTCAAGAAAACAAAAAATTTGGTGATTTTTGTTTAGGTTAAGGAGAGAAAGAGAAAACAAAGGTGGTTTTATAGGCATTAAGTGATGAAAAGACGACGAATTTTTCAAAATGGTGATCTCATTGGGGCTACTAAAAAGTGGAAAACTTTTAATATTTTTGCTTCCAAATACACGACAATTGAAAATCAAACCCCTTCTATTTCTTTTTTTCCAAGCTTAGCATACTAACAAACGAATAGCACCAAATTGTTGGATTAGGTGTAGCCTTTTTTTTCTTCTTCTACGCTCGTTTTCCTTTCTATTTCCTCGATTTTAATGGCGTTTTCGTTTGAATTTTCATTCAAAAAGACGGGTTTTTTCTACAATAAAAATTGTATTTCTAGAACGACAGTGTATACATCAATGAGTTCTTCAACTCCGAACGTGGCCCCACCAGCGTAATCCAACTTTTATGCAGCAATTACCTGGGTTGGTTGCTAAGGTAGAATTATTATCAGAAATGAATATTTTAGCCTTTTAAAAAATATAAATGTTACATAATAACATCTATTTTAGATCTAATTATGATTATAATTTCTAATTTCTAACTAAGAAATTATTATTGATGGTAGGCAAGGTTAATTTTTTTTTATAAACAAAATAATTAGAAAAGAATCTTAGAAATTAATATTTTAAGTTTTGTAAATATATATATATTATGAAGGAATGGCTCACTGCAGAAGTCATCAAAGGTGTCATTTTGTGATTATCTCATTGAGCCATCAACACAGAATCCATCTCTAATTCCCAAAATAAACTTTAAAATTCATTGCATTATTCAGTCCCCCTCTAACTGCCCTAACCATTAATAAAATTTAAATAAAAAAAACTAGGGTACAAACATGATATGAATTTAGCGACGGACATTACCCACGTACTTGAAACAAATATAATTGGAATATCCGATACGCAGTTATAGACAACACATCTTGTACAAACATGATTATGACACCGATACCAAATAGATACATTGTTTGACGAATATATTTATGTCCAATTATAAATTTATTAAAAAATATGATTGAAATTTAACCAAGATACTGTCCAACAATTAAATATATAATTAATCTTATTTGTCAACTTTTTTGTTTATTTAATTATCTTACATGTACCAAATACTGAAGAATCGAGGATTTTAGCATTCCAGTTGTACTTCAGATGCGAACCCCAACTAACATTGCTTCATTTATCCATCAAACTTTCCCAATTAATTTTAATGAGAGCTTTCATTGACAACTTCTAGAACCAAACATTTAACTTCAACTATAAGCTTTTAATTTTTTAATTAAAATCTTCGTATTTATCGTGGCTTGAATACGTTCATGAAATGCTAAATGTTAGCCAAATTGAAATGAATAAAATTTTTATGGAGAAGATTATTAATTGTTATAATTTGGATTTTTGGTTGATTGAATTATAATAATAAAACTTTGTCAAAGAGAAACTGGTGTGAAAATTGGGTTAGTATGGAATTAAAACCATGTGTTTTTATTTATTTTTAATTAGGTTATTTTGAAAATTCAAACATTCTATAACAACCTTAAATCAATTAGACTTCTAATTAATGATAATTAATAAAGTTGATATGATTTATTTTTATTCTCGATTGAATCCATAAATTTTCAAATAATTAACTTTTTATGAAAAAATATCTATTGATTTCGATCTTGTTGGTGTCTTAACTAGGCTCGTATATGCACTTCTTTCTTGGTGTGAAAAGTCAGATGCATCGTTCTTTTAGGTGTGACACAATATAATGAGCAAAATAATCAGCATATCACCACCATTGGTGAGTCACAACCTACTCTTTAATTGTAACATTGTAATAACTCAAGTCCATCGGTAGTAGATATTGTCCGCTTTGGCCCGTTATGTACCGCCATCAACTTCACGATTTTCAAATGCATCTACTAGAGAGGTTTTTCTTCACCCTTATAAGGAATACCGAGTTCTTCTCTCCAACTGATGTAAGATCTCGCAATCCACCCCCCTTAAGCACATCGCCTGGTGTCTAGCTCTAATACCATTTATAACAACTCAAGCCCACCGCTAATAGATATTGTTCGCTTTGGCCCGTTACATATCGCCGTCAGCCTCACGATTTTAAAACACGTCTATTAGGGAGAAATTTTCACTCTTTTACACAAAGAATGTTCTGTTTTCCTCTCCAACCGATGTGGGATGTCACAAACGCTCTCCCCTCCTTTACTTTGAATGTCATCATCTGATATACACACTCATAGGATAACAACAATACTCATCTTATATCAGTGAGCTGATATCAAAAGTAATCTATCTAAACAGGTACATTTCAGCATATTCTGGCATGATCGTTGAGGCTGAAAAGAGAGGAAAGGGTGATGAGATCCCGTGATTAGGAGGAGCTTTAGAACAAAGATATTAAATATTAGGAAAGAAACCAAATGTTTAATATCTGATGTCAGAAAAACTATTTCTTCAATTACAAATTCAGTAAGTTATAATATCAAATGCTTACGAACATTCATTTTAATATCAATCAAATGCTCAATAAACACAACAAAATGTTGGAACAATGATTCCAACACATCTGTATCTGTATAACACAGCACAATGTACACAAAAACAAGAAATATAGAGTATGTCTGTATAGTATGTATCTATTTACAATCTGTATAAGACTGCACACCACCACAAATTTATCGAATGCGATTGAGGTGAGCAAAGGGCTCTGTAATAGAGGATTTTGGAGCAGGTTTAGCCACTTCTGGAGTCCCAAACGCATGCCAGAATCTCAATGTCTCATCTGCTGCCGCCGAAGCCACAGTGCACCCATCTGGACTCTGCAAAAACATCACACAAGGGGCGATCAGGATATGCTAAGATCAAACACACCACAGATTATATATGATCATCATACTAGTTTACCTGAGCCATATAGAGAACCCTTGATGTATGACCAGTGAGCTCTCCCATCTTCACCATTGAAGGGTATTTCCATAGAGTGAGTTGGTTCTGGGAGAACCCATGAGAGCTAAGCAGCTCCCTCTCGTTTTTATTCCACAGTAAAGCACAAACTTGAGAACCAGTGTCAACAGAGTTCAAACATGTGCCAGTGTGGGTGTTCCAAAACTTAATGGAGCGATCACCCGCGCCTCCACCTGATGCGAGCAGGTTGCCTTGGAATGGACACCAAGCAAGGGCCTTGACTGCAGAGGTATGATCTTCAAGTCTGTGAAGATATTGGGTTGCTGAGTTTGAAGAGGCCATTGATCTATCCCAGATTTGGAGGACATTGTCATTCCCTCCACTTGCTAACTGTTGCCCTGATAATGACCACTTCAATCCACAGACCTCTTGATCATGACCTCTGTATGTTTCCACTATATGATCTCTAATTCTCACATCGTTATTCAAGATCCTCCCATCCATTCCTCCAGTTGTGAGAATGTGGTTGTTCCATGCCAGTGAACCCACACGCATCCTGTGCCCACCTCTCAGAGTTCTTAGCTGCATCATCAAGCCATCATCGAAAACAATTCTGGTCAGCTTCTATAAAGAATGAATCAAAGAAATTCAGTTTAAAAAAGGACGGCTCATCAACAGACCTGTCGATTGGCGGTCGAATCCCACAATTGTACTTCAGAATTGTTCAACCCAATAGCAATATGCCGTCCATCGGGCGCCCAATTTACACTTGTCACAGGACCGACTTCATCATCAATCGTTACAAGTTCTGAAGTAGAGCCATCGTTTGCATTCCACAAGTACACGGTGTTGGAAAGAGCTATAGCAAGCACGTTGCTGCTGCCCCAATCCAGCAAGTTCAAGTAGTAATCATCAACAAGATCAGGAGCATCCAATGTCCTTTCAGAAGTCTACACAGCAATATTCAAAATCAGGGAAATGAAGAGAAAAAAAAACAGAATCGATCCCTTCTTCCTTCTCTTGGAGGAAAATTATCAAACACTTGAACTGCAACATACCTGGGGAATTTGGCGGCGGGCCTTGACGGGTTTATCATGAGAAGCAGAGGAGAAGAACTCCTTAGGGATCATCTCAACTGGCGCGGGAGGTTTGTTCTTGAAAGCGAGGATTCGAGTTCGATTCATGTTCAATGTCTCAGCCAAACGCTTCTGATAAGCCTCCTTAGAGGGCGAACTAAACGTAGGGTTTTCCTTACCTTTCCTCCCCTCAGTCACCATGTAGTGCGCATAATCGAAATCCATCGCCGATCGATTCGGAATAAACCTATCCAACTGTAATCGAAAAAGGAATCGTTTCACACATCATCAGTACCTTGAGATACAAAAGAAAGGCAGGCAGAAATGAAAACCCTAATTCATCGATTCAGAACACAATTTCACATAAAAAAGGAAAGATCATTATTCAAGTAATTGATTTCGATTTCTACAACAAGCTTACATTTTCTCGGTTATGCTTTTTGTGGAGATGCTGTTCTTGCAGTGGACAGCGCGATCGATTAGCGTTAGAAGAACTCAAAGATCCTGCATCCATAGCGTTAATTTCCCAAAAAACAAGAACACAAACAATTCCAACAAAAATAACAGAGAAAGATAAACAGATCACAAATTAAAAACCCTGCAAAACTGAAATTAAAGAAACTCGCAAGATCCACAATAATAGAATATCGACAGCAAAATCAAGAACTAAATATCAATTAAAAAAACGCTTGACTGGTTGATTATGAGAGTGTATTGCGGAGAGCGCTCGTCTGTAATTGTTAGAGAGAGCGCGAGAGAGAGAGAGAGAGAGAGAGCGAGAGAGAGGGGAATGAATTGTATTTCAAATTCTCGAACTGAGATTATATACTCGCGATTGGGAGTATAAATGGAAACTGGTAACGGCTACGTTTGAATTAGCCGTTGCAATTAACTTTGACTATTATGCCCTTCCGTTCCATTATCCTCCTGCGTATTAAAAAGGGGTAGAAATGTTAATATGTCCAGTGAACCCGCGTATTACGAAAAGAGCCGTTGTAGTCCATAGGGAAAATTTGTTTTAATATAATTATTGGTTCTTTTTTATTAATTAAATAAAATTTTAATTCTCATTAGCCAAATTTCATTATAGAAGGGAAAACAAAATTTGATTGGTAATAATATGTATAAATGTTTAATAAATAAATAAATAAAATATAAGGGTGCAAAATGAAAGGAAATAAATATTAAGCACCCAATAGAAAATATTTAATTTAACAAGATTTTTGGTTGTTGTTCTATGTAACATAATCACTGTCTTTGTTGCTTTGTTGCTGTTGTTGGATGTTGTTCAACTATCTTTCCATCTTGGATCACTGAGATTTGGTCACGGTTTTTAATAATGGTGGAAAGCCCATGTGCACCATTGTTCTGTTCTTCATCAGCCTATCTAACGTTTGCTGAACCACGTGTTCCGATTCGACATCGAAGGCGCTCGTAGCTTCGTCGAGCAGTAGAATTTTCGGGTTCTTTAGGACTGCTCTCGCAATCGCTAGTCGTTGTCATTGACCACCCGAAAGTTGGATCCCTCTTTCACCTACTTTGGTCGAATGAAGCTATGTGCATTGGCGAGCTTCACTGCTTCGAATGCTTCGGCTTCGAAAGCTCCTTCTTTCCCGTAGAGAATGTTCTCGTAAATCGACGTGGCGAAAAGAGCTGGTTCCTGTTGGACAAGGCCAATGTGCTTTCTTAGAGATTTGACACTCCTCAGCTCAATAGTACCCTCCACCACATTTAGCTCTTCAGCAACGTCACCCGACATCGCTGTCTGTCGATTGATCACCTCAAAAATAGATGCCACCATCTAGTTTCCTTTCAAAAGGTCAGGGGCCAGTGCCAAAGTGTCACTTATTGCTAATTCAGTTACAATCAAAACCATGAATGATTTCATAACAGATTTGAAGCTAGCAAGCCCTCGTCCCATTAAAACCGAACCGTACCTGAGCCCTTCTAATATTTGTGACCAATAATCTAAAATAGGTACTTAGATCACATATCACAATGTCAAGCCATAAGATGAAAAGATGAAGAACTGAGAGACGCCATAGATCACATACCACAATGCTGCTGAACCAAACAAGCAAAGCCCGTGATAAGAAAATGACACAATCCATGTAACCGCCCAAACCTATCGCTAATAATGTCCTCTTTGGACTTTTCCTTAAGATTTTTAAAACGTGTCTGCAAGTGAGGTTTTCACACTTTTATAAATAATGCTTAGTTCTCCTCTTCAATCGATGTGGGATCTCATAATCTACGCTCAGCGTTGGCACTCGTTCCCTTCTCCCATCGATGTGAGACCCTCACTCCACCCCTTTGGGGCCTAACATCCTTAGTAGCACACTACTTTGTGTTCACACGTAACAACCCAGGCCCACCGCTAGCATATATTATCCTTTTTGGGCTTTCCCTTTCGGGCTTCCCCTCAAGGGTTTAAAACGCGTCTGCTAGGGGAAGGTTTCCACACCCTTAAAAATGGTAGTTTGTTCTCCTCCCCAACCAATGTGGGACATCACAATCCACCCCCCTTCGGGGCCTAGTGTCCTTACTGGCACACCGACTCGTTTCTACCCCCGTCGGGGAAGGGCGAGAAGGCTGACACATCGTCCGGTGTCTGACTCTAATACCATTTGTAACGACCCAGACCTCCCTTCGTTGCTTAGTCTCCTCGCTGGCACTCCGCCCAAATTAAAATTAAAATTTAATAGAGTTATTGTGATATTTTATAAATTGCAGATATTGTCGGCTTTACCGTGTTACTTATCATTGTCGGCCCCTCGATTTTAAAATGCATACGTTGGGAGAAGATTTCCACTCCGATGTAAGATCTCACATAGTATCATACAAATTATTTTGTCAATAAAATGTCGTATAATCACGTGTCTTAAAAGTAAAACAAAATAATAACAAATTGTTGCATCATTAAGAGGAGGATAGATAATATAGATGCATAAACAAATCACATGCATTGTACCCTTATGAAACATGACCAATGAGGCCCATAGATTTTACCTCCACATTCAAGTAACAACATTAAAGTCAATGTCATTGCTTATATCCATGGGACACACCTACACCTTCAATTTTTAAAGCTCTCTTAAATTTATGTTCTTATGGTACTAATTTTTTATGCTGCATTTATTATAATTCCTAAAACACCCTTTTTGAATTTTGATACTAAAAGTTCACATAGTGCTTAAGAAAACTAAAATGTTTTTTAATTAAAAATGTTTAAAATTATTATGTATATTTTTTATTTATATTTCGATTTCTTGACCATAGCGTGTAGAAATTACACATTTAAAATAGAACACAAAATTGCTACAAAATTGAGAATATTGAAGCTAAATTCCATCAAAATTTAATTATTATAACCAAAAGTTTTTATTTTTAATAAATAAATAAATAATTCAGGATTTGAAATTTGAAACAATAAAGTGGAAGGTTTCAAAATACTGAATAACAAAGGGAATAGGCTCCAACCCCTAACATCACAAGTAGAGTGCACCGAAAAGGCGCTACTTCTGAGTACAGCGGGATCCACGTGGACTCAGGACCACAAAAAAAAAAAAAGAAAAAAATCCTAATCATCAAATATCCAAAGCATTAGGAAGGGAATCACATCATGACACGTGGGCCTTACCCACTCCCCATCAATTCCTTAGCGGACACTCACACACCTCATTTATTTTAAAATTTAAATATTATTTTATCAATCAATTTAATAAAACGATTAAAAAGAAAAAGGAAAAAAGAAAAGAAGAAGAATAAAGGCTTTACCACCGGCCGACACTCGTCTATTAAAATGCACCAGCACTTGCCTAGGTTGTCCTCTTCTCTCTATCTTTTTGTTTATTTAATTCAAGATGACTTTTTTTTTTTTTTTTTTTATGAAAATTATAATTATTCTCTAACGAGAAAGGATACAAAAAAAATTGTGTAAATTATTGAATAAAATGGCCCACTTCCTCTAAATAATTATTGCTACAAATTAAAAATTTACATGTCATCTAATAATCCTTAAAGACGTGGATAAAAACTACTTTAATAATTGAATTTAAATAAGTTGAGTAATTACATTATCAAAATTATATTTATTTGAAATAAATTTTATTTCGATTCTTCTTTATTTTATTTTTATTAAGTAAATAAGACAAATGAATGATTTAAAGTAATGCTATTCATTAAATGGGGACCCGTTGGTCCCTTGTCCGGTAAGGAACAGAATTATCAAAATAAAAGTATCTACCGACACCCAGCCTCAATTATATTACTAATTTTATTTTAATAATAAACCCATCGAAGAAAATCACAAAAGCTAGAGGAGATATGTGGAGGGGCAACCACAAAACTAAATAGGCAATAAATGGAGGGCTTAAAAATAAATTTGATAGAAAGAACCTGATACCGTCAGCGACTACAGCATTTTCCAGCTGGCGTTTCGGCCCTTCTCTCAATGCCATAACGGTCCGATTCGGAAAATCGAAAATAACAGAGTATATTGCAGCTGGATTCCATTTTCATCTCCGACGCGCCGGTAATTGAGCGGCGCGTCATGGTTTTGCTTTCTGATAAACTGACAATTTATTCATTCTTTGTTTGTATTAAGTTACAGAAGTGCCACCGGCGCTAGCAGAGGCAAACAAAAAATTGAAAAAGTAAAAGAAAAGGAATAGAACAATTTAATCTGACGGAGTATTTGATGAACAGAAGCTTTTAATTTAAAAAATAGTTACGGGAGGAACACGCGCCGGCATGAGAAGCCGTGAGGCGAAAACGAGGTCGGTGAAATTTTACCGGAAGGTTAGAGAATCGGTAATGCGGAGTTTAGAAATCGCCGAGTTTCCTCGGAGTGCGAGATCTCAGAGAATGTGATTTTTCGATCTCTTTTAGGTTACGGAGACTTTGAATCGCTAGGATGTTGCCTTTCTTCGGTACGATAAGTTCGTCTCCTTCGGCTTTGATTTCTGCCAGAAATTCACCAAATGAAGAGATTCAAATTCAGAAATTAAACAGATAATGCCTCAATTCGCGAAATCATCAACTACATTATACCTAAATGTTCTGAAGGACGCTTGAATCCATGAAACTGAGCCAAATCTGAAACGATTGAAACAGAATATCAACTGAAACGATCGATTAGAATCAAACTATAGCGAAGTACAGAGCGATTGTCGATTCCGATGGGAGGAATTGCAGGTACCTGACTGCGAAGGACTGTGCGAGAAGATGTAAAGGATGAGGAAGCAGAAAATGGTGAGGATAGGGATAGCATGAACGAACTTCTCCTGCCGCTGAGGAGAAGGCGTTGGAAATGAGAATCGGAAGGATTTAGAGGCTTTCTCGTCGTCTTGTCCGTCGTAGTTGAGAATTAAAGGAGAAGATGGAGAGTGCTTGTTGCGCTTCTGATCGTCGGCCGGAACTGCATCCGATTTGGCTCCGGCGCCATGGCCGTGGAGCTTGGAAACTGGTGAACCTAGAGATTGCCTTTGCATCGTAGAGAGAGACAGAGAGAAGTAGAGAGAGAAGCGATGTTGCTCACTGAAATGAGGTCAGTACCGTGATAAACTTTTTGTGTGTGTTTTCCGTTTGGGCCTCGTGACGTTTGACTCTTGCAATGACACCCCCAAATTATCTAATAATTCTTATTTGCACCCATCATTTAAATTATTATTCTAGTTTTATGATTTGTGTTTTTTTATTTTAATTTAGTCCATATAATTTTAACATTGTAATCAATATTTTTCAAACATTTATTTTTTTTATACCATTTAAACTATACCTTAATTGACATTTTCTTTAATATTTAAAATATTAAAATGTCATTTAAGCTAATTAATATTGGTAATTTTGTTTTATGGTAGGTTTTGTTGGTACTCTCTAATTAATTATCGTCTTTTGCCATTTAAAGAACATGCGAAAAAAAAAACGTCATAAATAATAAATTATTTATCATTTAGTGACACTAATACCTGATATTTGGATAGATTTAAATAGAAATAAAATAAAAGCTTTAAAAACTAATAATGGAAATTACCCATGTAATTAAAATGGTAATATGCGTAATTTTATATCATGTAATTGGATCCAATATAATATAATACAAAAAAAATTCACATAAAATATTCCTTTTTTAATTCCTAATTATTCTTATTTCTTTCTTTGTTTTAAAGGAAGAAAAATAAATAAATGCTTTCATCTTTTGGAAAATAATCTTAGTCGTAGGAGAAAAAAAACTCCTCCCACCGGACCATCCAGTACAAAATGAGATACTTTCTTATTAAAAATAAAATATTTTTTTTAATACAAAATCTAAAATTATATTGGAATATTTTGGTACTGAGAACCATATTTTGATGAATTATTTACAAATTCCGGCGCGTGATGAATTGGGCCATAGTTGTACATTGGGCTGTTAAAGCCCATTTTGATCAGGCCAAGGCCCAATTATTTGCAAATTCCCGCGCATGATGAATTGGGCTATTGTTGTACATTGGGCTGTTAAAGCCCATTTTGATCAGGCTAAGGCCCAATTATTTGCAAATTCCCGCGCATGATGAATTGGGCCATTGTTGTACATTGGGCTGTTAAAGCCCATTTTGATCAGGCTATGGCCCAAACTCAAAGAGTTATTTTGATGAATTATTTGCAAATTCCCGCGCATGATGAATTGGGCCATTGCTGAACATTGGGCTGTTAAAGCCCATTTTGATCAGGCTAAGGCCCAAACTCATGAGTTATTTTGATGAATTATTTACAAATTCCCGCGCACGTTGAATTGGGCCATTGCTGTACATTGGGCTCTTAAAGCCCATTTTGATCAGGCTAAGGCCCAAACTCAGAGTTTCACGTTTGAGACTGGACGAAACACTATAGCTTATTCTGAACCGAAGAAGAAGAAGAAGAAGAAGAAGAAGAAGAAGAAGAAGAACAGAGCGAGGGAAAATGGTGTTGTGGGAGATTACATTGGCAACAGCGTATTTCTTGGGGCTAAAGCGAACGTTTAAGCTCGCTATGAAGATTCAGCGACGTCTTGTTTCCCCCAAGCACCCTCGGATTCGTCAATTTCTGCGCGGGTATTTTTCCTTTCTCTCTTGTTCATCGTATTCTCTTAATCTGAACCCTTCTAAACGTGTTCGTGATTGTCCAATTGAACGCAATAGATTTCTACGTATCTTCTTTTATTCCTCGAGTCTGTGGAGTTTCAATTGAAGCAATTATTTATTCATTTCTGCAATAAATGTTGGGAGCTTGTTTGAGGAAGTAAAAAATTGATCCTAAATGTTGGAATCAAGTAATTAGCGATAGTTCAAGATACTGATTGGATTAATATATGATGGACATGCCACTGTCTAATATCGACGAGGAAGCTAATCAACAACTTTTGGTTGAAAATTTGGAAGTGGAGGATATATGTTACATTGTTGAAGATTTCTTTAACTACTGATCTGGAAGTTCGGATACTTATTCACTTACAAAGGATACAGATTTTTGACATATTCTTACCCAAATTTTCTACATTATTTACCGACTCCCGATCCCTTGTGCTAAGAAGCTTCTATGGTGAACTTTTTTTTTAAAAAAAATTATTAGTTTTATATGCTTCATTTTCCACCGTTCATGCTCCATCGTTGTGCTTTTCACACGTGTTTTGTTACAGAATCGAGGCCTCCACATCTGGTTAAACACAATCTGGTGGGAATGGTTGATGAACTAATCATTCTTCAAATGCTTTTTTCTAGTTACTGGATTTAGGCCTTTACATTTCCTTAATTGCATTCTGGTGGAATAGTTGATGAACTTAATTATTGGCTTATGTGGAAGATATACATTATCTGAGATGTGCACTTCTTCATGTGGGCCTTCATTTCCTTCGTAGAGTGGAGACAATAGTTTTGGGCAACTAAGTCAGTGAACTTTCAACCTGATAACGCTTCATACCTGACATATCATGTTAGGAACACTAATGCGTGGAAAAAAAAGGTGAGTAGGGACTCTGCAGTACGCTTCATGGCTCTGTCTAATAGGCAATAGGCTTGTGATTAGGTAGTGATCTTCTTTTTCTTTTGATAAATGGGTTATCGAGGTCCCCCTCCTAACATTATTCTCATGACCCTCCTCCAATAAGCTTTTTGGGAGGTTCTGTACATCCCTAAGCCACCTCCAGGAGACTAAATGTTTTAAGTTGGTAAGCTTCCAACCTAAAGGGCTTGAATCCCAAATCTTAGAGGGTACATCCAAACACGAGGCCTTGCCACAAGGGCACCATTTTGTGGTGGTAGTGGTCTTCTTTTCTTTCAAAGTTCTAATGATAGAAATAATTCAACAGGTCTTCAGATCGTTCATTTAAAAAAATTGAAATAATTCTTATATGGATGATCATGATACTTCCCAAAATTCGAAGCATTGGTTTATACATTCCTTTTAGTCTCGACTCTAGGAATAATTTTTTTCGCTATCTTTTTTCGCGAACCGTCAAAAGTTCCAACTAAAAAGGCGAAATGATTTCTCATTATCTTAATTGAATTACTGACATTAGTCTTTTGAGAGGGCTATCTCTCTCCCAAGTCTCACAGTGGTCACTCCACTAAAATGATCCACACCTTCTAAGGTCTCCACTCCTGTTTATAACCAAGACACCCCTAATATTAACCTTTGTGCCCCTTACTAGTGTACTACTAACCCCTCGCATATAACCCAAAGCATACCATACTAGTACTCTGGCAGTTTTCTAATGATAAGTTTGTTATTTGAGACAATATCTAGAATATGGAACAAATGGCTGCAATCAAACTGAATATTCCATTTTAGGTGATACAATGCCAAGCGTTGCACTTATACCAATAATTTTTCTTGTCCTTAAATAGGTCTGCTACATGACAATTTCTATTTGTATTACTCAATTGCCACAAAACTTGCTAGCAGATGTAGAGAAATGCTTTTGATATGCCCACTTTCTTTTGGATGCTATACAGCAGATTGCGTCAAATGCAGATTAGCTATTCGATGTGCATTTGATAAGCGTGTCAATGGCTACTATCTTAAAGGTTTCTCAAGAACTTTGATTTCATTAACATTTTAGATTTTACATCTTCGTTGTTATGGTGATATCAGTAATATGGCATGATTTATTTGTAGTATGATCTATTTTATAAGTGATAATGTAAAAGCGAAGACAAGTATACTGTGTGGTGTATACAATGTTCTCAAAGGTTTCCTCTTTCTAGAGTTTGTGCACCGAACCTCTTATAGTAACTAGAAGGACAATATCATCTTATTGTCTATTCTTTAAAATACATTATCCCATATTATTCATGCCGTACTACTATGACATGAGTTAGGGTAATTCAAGCCTTTACTACATTTACCATCATGGCTTACGAAAAAAAAAGATTAACTAGTAGGTCAACCCTATTAGTGTTAAGAATCTTCATTGAAGTATGTGGCAATTGAAGGATATGATTTTTGATATTTTATTTCTTTTCAATAACTCCTCAAGGCTGATGTCTAGTATATTTTAGGTAAAAACCTTGAGACGACCTTTAACCTTTTATATATAGTAGCATTGCAGTGAAGTTTAATTGGCAGGGCCATTTATCTCCTCTGTTCTTCATTCTTCTCTTTTTATTTTATGATACCTATGGAGAGCGAATACTTCAAGATTTATCCTTCTATTCGCATGAAATCATCCTATTTTCATGTGAAATTTACACATAATAACCTAGTATTGTTAGTAGTCATATGATATTCTTCAATTTCATGATGAGCTTCAATGGCCCAAGTTGCAATAGTAAAGATCAAGTTGTTTCTGGACTCCTATGGCTTGATATTCTAAATTTTCTACCCACCAGTTCTTCAGTTGGTTCTTGTCAAGTTATCAAAATTCACCGAGAACGGCCAAAACCTTGAAGCATTGGCATTGTACTGGCTTCTCGATGAACTCACCATAGTTCCATAACTGCATAACTATTAGTAATATGTTATTGCTGCTAGTCTGTAGTTGCTGTTCTTTAACTGCTGGAAAGTACTTTTTTACTTAATGCAGACGTACACGCGCCATATTTGATGTTACCGTAAAAGTTCACCAGAGAATTCAGCATCGAAACACAGAAGTTGGTAATCTTGGTAGCTGGATTTCACGAGGGCTTAATCGAATGAAACAATCCGCTGAGATTCATGAACCTCCAAGGGGGCCTATGAAATGTATGAAAATGGTGAAGCAGGCTTCCAGCTCCTACTTGAAACACCGGCCCAGCCCTCGAGCTGTGATTAGTCAGAAATTCGATCAATATATGTCAATTACCTCATCAGTACACAGATGGCCTAAGCCCTTCCCTACCATTGCAATGATCATGAGGCAGCCGAAGCCTGCTGGAACTGGGACCATGATCCAATACCGACAATATGGCATTTGTGGCTCTGAAGCAATGAAAATGAATTACATAGGAGGAGGTTTCAACAACGTTATTCGAGAAGATATTATGCGGTGGATGCTCCGAAATTAGAAGAGAATGTTTTCTAGTTGCCCTCTCCTTGGAGACTACAATATTTGGCCGACAATACAGTCTTTAGTCAAGTGTTTAGCTTCCAATCTTAGATTGTTCCTTCTCTTCTTGATGTAAAATCTTTCTAACATGTTCCTAGGGAAGTTGGAAATCATGTCTATGCACATGAATAAATTAGATAGCTAATCCCCAGTATGAAAGAGACCTCTTTGAATCGACATTTTAAGCGCTTAAAAACGCTTTAATACTTTAGAACTCTTAAAAAGTCGTTCCAATGAGTCTATACCATAGTTACCAAAATGTCCACTTGGAAGTTCATTGAATATACTTCATTTAAGCTGGGTATTGGCTCTGTTTCGTGTCAATAATTTTAATTCATCACTTTGTAAGCTTATTGTATACTACTACAAGGGAAAATTAAATGTTTTTATGTCTTGAATTACCTAAAGTTTCTATTATTATTATCCAACGAAATTAAAACTCACCCAACACTAACAACAAAGAATAAAAATACAAAATACAAAATGTTTGAAAAAAATGAGATTTGTACCGTAGAATTTAATGCCAAGTTTGAAGTAATAAATAATGGTTGCTCCGTTTGGTTTTTGACCAAACTTTCAATTTTTATTCAGAAAAATGCTGCGTTTACAATTATGGTTTCTGCTTACACTTTTATTTTTCTACCAAACCAAATTCCTACCAAATTCCTATTATTATTATTATATAAATAATCCAAGAATGTTAATGATAATTTTAATTATTCACAATAATTTTTTATATTAAATTTAAAGATTCCCAAAATTTAAAAACGAAAGGAGTTTATTTTTTATTTTTTAGCTTAAAAAAATTGGAAGGAAAATTTTAAATTTCTTAACCAAGATTAATTAACTAAATAAAGCTTTAATAAATACCATTAATTCCCATTACATACATTAGTTATGATAAAGTGCAATGTATATCTATCTTATTTATATAATTGTTTCACCATAAGTATCTAATTAATTAAAATCCCCATCATTATACAATAAGAATAAAATACTAACAAATCCCATACATAATCAAATGCGTAAATTTTGTCCCCCCCAAAATAATCAAATACGTGGAAATAGTCTATTATCCAAATTTTAATAAATTTCTATAATTTCTCTTAATAGTAAACCACATTTTCATATAATCGCTAACAATTCAATACGCTATACATGAATTTAGACACTACATTGTATTAAGATTTGTATGATACTTTAATATACACATGCAATAATTTAATTAAGGTCACATGATACTATACTGTAGTAATTGATTACATTATATTCATGAAATAGTTTATATGGCTTTTAATTTCATGAAAATCCTAATGTCAAAACTATATATTAAATATAACATAAGAGTTGTCCAATCTCAATGTGACTTCATTATTGCATTTCCAAACATGGCAACCATGCAAACTTTATTATTATTTCATCAAAATATTTCATATCTTACCATTCATATGAAATTATTCTCTTTTCAACCCTTGATTTTTAGATTGCTAATTTAATGATTCATTCTTATTGACTTTGTAATTTTTAATGAAAACTACATTAAATTTATTCCATAATCTTTAGTGAAATTATTTAGAATATTATCACGTTATAACTATAGGGGTAAATGGGTAAATTCACAAAAAATAATCGACATTAATTTTGTATCTAGTAAATCTATGAATTTTAAAAATGTCTAAAAAGTCACTTACTATATTTTTTTTTCTCGATTACATTAAATAAAATTATTTTGAACAAATCCTATTTAAATGATTAATTTTGTGCGTCGTTAACTACGGTAGGTCCCCACACAAAAAAACGAACATCCCTACTTATGGTGTCGGGACATCCCTACAATGATCAAAATGAATATTACTACTTACTTTTTTTAGAATATACATCATAAATATAAAGTGGTAGATGATGTAACTTATAAAATAAAATTTTTGTTAATCTAAATATAATTCTTAAAAGATATATATTATTTACCAAAATACTAAATATAAATTACCTTGCCACTTACTCTCTATGTTAATTTTGGAGACAATTATTAATTTAATCTCAGTAATTACTTAATTCTAGTTCACTGTAAAAAGATAATAATAATAATAAATAATAATCTCAGCGTTAATCTTTGTGTAGCGTGGACAAAATACACCCCTAGATTTTTCTCGTGGGATCCAAAACAATGGATGGTCCAGATCCTTTTGACCGGTAGACTGGAGGATTAATTTCTACCCGTCCAAGTCAAAACTATATCTCATCGCTCAACCCACAAGCCGGTTACTTGCTGTCTCGGTAAATGGTTAATTCACACGAAACCCACAAACTAAAACACCCCAAATAGAGTCTACACTTCACGACCCAATCACAGAGCGCGTGTTTCTCACACACTCTACTGAGATAAAGGTTTGACTTTCAATTATCTAGGGAGGAAATAGAAATCCACTAAAAATACGCCACGTGGGATTTAACAGCTATGCGTAAAAATATTGGAGCTGATGCGTTTCTGTCAACGTGCATTAAAAACTCATCGTGGTGAAATTTTCTTTTTTATTCCAAAATTAAATTACGAAATTTATTATGGAGAGAGAAAGTTAAAATATCAATCCATTACATTTCTAAATACCATTGTTATTTTAATTAAAAATAGATTAAATAATAATCATAATCATAATTTTAATGTAAGAAAATTACCATTTTAAATTTGATTGAAAGTAAAAAAAAAAATAATAATAATAATTACAGAAGGTGGATATTGGTTGGACGGTCTAGATTCTGAAGATTAACGGTTAAAAAAAAAGAAAATTTTTGGGGACAATTATTTTATTGTCGATGTGTTCACATTTGTAAAGGGCTCAAAGCTCTCTCCTTTTCTGCAAAATGTGAGATTTTTAGTGAGAGAAAGAACAAAACAATGGATGTCTTTGTTTTGTCTTTGTGGGTCTAAATTTTAACACACATTTCTTCTTCTTCTTCTGCTTATCTATTGGAAACCACCGACAGTGAAGAGAGAGACAGAGGTAAAGCATGTTTTTTTTCTCCTTTTTTTTTGGGTATTTTTCACTGAAGATCTCTCTTTTAGTGTTTTTTTTTTTTCCTTTAAAAATGAAGAAAAAAGATGAAAACTTTATCCATTTTGGAGGATGTTTCATGGGGTTTTAAGCTTTGATTCTGTTATTATCTTTGCATGCTAAGAATCTAAGCAGATCTTTGATTGTTTTTAATATTATTTTGGTTGCAGGTTGGCGAATAAAGCAACGTAATAATATTTATATAAAAGAGAAGAATGTATGGGGATTGCCAAGTGATGTCGAGCAATATGGGAGCAAACATGGCTTCCTCTGAATCTCTCTTCTCTTCTCCCATTCAAAACCCTAATTTCAACTTCATTTCCAATTTCCACCACTTCCCTTCCATTGTTCCTGTAAGTTCTTAATTTCCCCTTTTTTATTTCTTCATTTTTTTGTGTTCTTTTAAAAAAAGTTTGGATTTTTATCTCTCAGAAGGAAGAAAATGGGTTGATTATGAGAGGAAAAGAAGATATGGAAAGTGGGTCTGGAAGTGAACAGCTTGTTGAAGAAAACCCAGGAATTGAAATGGAAAGTAATGATAATATTATGCAAAATCAGAAGAAAAAACGCTATCATAGGCATACTGCTCGCCAGATCCAAGAAATGGAAGCGTAAATTTCTCCTTTTTGTCTCTATTTTAGCTTCTTTTTCTATTCTTACATTTGAACAACACCAAAGTTCGTTGCTTTTCACAGTTTGTTTAAGGAATGTCCACACCCAGATGACAAGCAGCGCCTCAAACTCAGCCAAGAACTCGGCCTCAAACCTCGCCAAGTCAAGTTTTGGTTCCAAAATCGAAGAACCCAAATGAAGGTTTGTAAATAAATCAAGTCTAACAGTGAAGGTTTGTAAATAAATCAAGTCTAATAGAGAATTCGAACCTCCAACTTCTAAGCTATGTTTTAGGTGAAATCATGCAAACCCATTTAATATTTCAGCTCAATTCTCAAGAAAAGTTCTTATTATTGGTCCCATTGAAGAGGCTTTTACCCTAAACTGGGAACTGGGTACCCATTATGATGTTTACATAAAATATAAATTTTTTTAAAAATTAGATCTTTATAAGCTCCCATGGTTGTCTTCTTTCTTTTTACAGTCTGTCCTTCATTAATGTCACCCTGTGGTCGCTGTATTTATAACCCTAACTGCTCAAGTGTCTGTGTTTCCCAATGGCATTACAAATTAAATGCTCTCCCTTCAACTTTTACTTGTGTTTTAGAGGCTTAGTTTGTGGTTAATTTAATTTAATTTGATTTGATTTGATTTGTTTTTCAGGCACAACAAGACAGATCTGATAATGTGATACTTAGGTCTGAAAATGATACCTTAAAGAATGAGAATTATAGACTGCAAACTGCCTTGAGAAACATTATATGCCCTAGCTGTGGAGGGCAAGGTATCCTTGGAGAGCCAAGCTTGGATGAACAGCAGCTTCGCCTTGAGAATGCTAGACTTAGAGAACAGGTAAATTAATTAAACGCATTCATTTTGGGAAGGAAAACGAAGCCTTCTTTACAAAGGTGTGGAAACCTCTTCCTAGCAGATGAGTTTTAAAAAACCTTAAAGACAATATCTGCTAGCGGTGAGCTTGAGCTGTTACAAATGGTATCAGAGCCAGACATCGGATGATGTGTCAACGAGGAAGCTGAACCTCGAAAGAGGGTGGACACGAGGTGGTGTGCCACCATGGACACTGGGTCCCGAAGGAGGGAGGATTGTAAGATCCCACATCTGTTTAGCAAAGAGGCTGAACCCTGAAAGGGGTGGATACGAGGCAATGTGTCAATAAGGGCACTGAGCTCCGAATGAGAGTGGATTGTGAGATCTCACATTAGACGTGTTTTAAAAACTTTGAGGAAAGTCCACGGATAACAATATCTGCCGGGAATGAACTTTGATATTACACATATTTTATGCAAATTTAAATGATATTCAAACCCTAAAAGAAAGTGTTTGTATGGTTAACAATATTCATGTACAATTTGATAATAGTGCTTCAAAATTCTTATGTTAACAGTTGGAACAAGTTTGCTCCTTCACCTCAAGATACACTGGTCGCCCACTCCAAGGGATGTCCTCCACAGCTCCCCCTCTTATGCAACCATCTCTTGATTTGGACATGAACATATACTCAAGGCAATACACAGAGGCCATGGTATCGTCCTCCGAAATGATGCCACTGGCGTCGATGCTCCCGCCCGACGCCGCTCACTTCCCAGAAGGCGGTCTATTAATCGAGGAGGAAAAAACATTAGCTATGGATCTTGCTATATCGTCCATGGCTGAACTCGTGAAGATGTGCCGCTTAACCGAGCCGCTTTGGATTCGAAACAGCGAGAGCGGTAAGGAAGTTCTAAATGTAGAAGAACATGCCAGGATGTTTCCATGGCCAATGAACCTCAAACAACACTTGATGAATGAGTTTAGAACCGAAGCCACTCGTGATAGCGCCGTTGTTATAATGAACAGCATCACCCTCGTCGACGCCTTTCTCGACGCGGTAAGTTTCTTAATATAATTTAGTGTCGTAACACGAAAAGTTGAGAGTTGTTTTTGAATTGGGAATTTGATTTTCAGAACAAATGGATGGAGTTATTCCCTTCACTCGTGGCCAAAGCAAAAACTGTGCAAATCATTTCATCAAGTGTTTCAGGCCATGCGAGCGGCTCCCTTCGATTGGTAATAAAATCAAACCATTTAAATCCACAAGAACCTCCAATTCTTCCCATCTTCAAAAAAGATGAACTTTTCTCCGTTTTGGATTTTGTTTTAGATGTATGCAGAACTTCAAGCTCTTTCTCCATTAATTCCGACGAGGGAAGCCCATTTCCTCCGGTGCTGCCAGCAAAACGCCGATGAAGGCAGCTGGGCAATTGTTGATCTTCCGATCGACAGCTTTCACGACAGCCTCCAGCATTCGTTCCCCAGATACAGGAGAAGGCCGTCCGGCTGCATTATCCAAGACATGCCCAACGGATATTCGAGGGTAAAATTTAATTATCCAAAAATTAAGGAAAAATTTAATCTTTTATTCCTTATTCTCTGTGACAGTCCCCTCAATCATGATTTTATAATCAAAGAATACTCTATCCATTGGCTAGTAGTCTTTTGGGTAAGCTCAAAGCAAAGCCACAAGAGCTTATGCTCAAAGTGGACAATATCATACCACTGTTTAGAATCGCGTTCGTCTAACCTTCTTTGACCCTTTATCTTATAGGTTACATGGGTGGAGCACGCGGAGATAGAAGAGAAGCCAATCCATCAAATATTCAATAATTTTGTTCATAGTGGAATGGCTTTTGGGGCGCATCGCTGGTTGGCTATTTTACAAAGGCAATGCGAGAGAATTGCAAGCCTCATGGCTCGAAACATTTCTGATCTTGGAGGTTCTCTCTCTTTTATGATTCTTTTTAAACTTCAATTAATAAAACCATGATATGTAATGGTTTCTTTGGGGTTTTTTCAGTGATACCTTCGCCAGAAGCAAGACAGAACTTAATGAAATTGGCACAAAGAATGACCAGAACTTTCTCACTTAACATAAGCACCTCCGGTGGCCAGTCGTGGACCGCGTTGTCCGATTCTCCTGATGATACTGTTCGTATAACGACTCAAAAAATTGTCGAGCCTGGCCAACCTAATGGGGTTATTCTTAGTGCTGTCTCCACCACTTGGCTTCCCTATCCTCATTACCGCGTCTTCGATCTTCTTCGAGATGAACGACAACGATCCCAGGTACATTTTAACCTAATTCCATCAGCTGATATTATTATAAAATCTAATTTAAGATATATAAAGATATTTATGGAATATATTTTAATCTAATTCGATAATATATATACATATATTAACTAATTCATAAAATATACTCTATGAATAATTAATTAAATTAGAACAGTATGAATAATTAATTAAATTAGAACAGTATTATCAAGTACATTTTAACCTAATTCTCCCGATAATTCTATTCGAATAACTGGGTATATTTTATGAATCAGTTACTCTCTCTATTTATATATGTATATAATATATTTTAGTTGGTAACTCGTATCTTATTTAAAAGTTGTGAATATCAATAAAAATAGTTTCCGATTCAACGTCTCTTTCTCATTCCTGTTCTTGAACATGGATGCTTCAGCTGGAGGTTCTTTCCAATGGGAATTCACTGCACGAGGTTGCTCACATTGCTAATGGCTCCCACCCTGGAAACTGCATATCTCTGCTTCGTATCAATGTGAGTTTTTCATGTAAATTCCAAAAAAATTAGGCTAAACTTTTGAAGTTATTTTCAATATTCAGCCAATTTTGTTTGATGGGAGCTACATGAATATTTTCAGGTGGCCAGCAATTTCTCCCAGCATGTTGAGCTGATGCTGCAGGAGAGCTGCACGGACCAGTCCGGCAGCCTCGTCGTCTTCGCTACGATCGACGTCGATTCGATTCAGTTAGCCATGAGTGGAGAAGACTCCTCCAGCATTCCCCTCCTCCCCATAGGATTTTCCATCGTCCCCGTTGTCGATTCGACTGCCGATGGACGCCTAGCATCATCGCCACCCAAGGACGGTGCTACTAATGCTGCAGTTGTCAACTCCGGCTGCTTACTTACCGTCGGCCTGCAAGTTCTAGCCAGCACCATTCCATCGGCCAAGCTCAACCTGTCTAGTGTAACCGCCATCAACAACCAGCTCTGTAACACGCTCCACCAAATTAACGCTGCTCTTGGCTGCAGCTCAACTCAGCTCGAGAATGCCAATGCCGCTGTCGACCAGAATACTGCACTGCCGCTGCCGACACAACCGCCACCCAAGCAATAAGCTCCGTTCGCATGGTTTGGAAAGAAAGAAGAAGCTGTCAGCTCCCAATTACCCAAAATCTCCCTCCCTCATGCCACCTTGACGTGGATTCCAAGGGTAATTTCGGTAACTTGAAAAAAATGCTAGGGCTTTTGAGCGGGAGATTGTGGATAATTGGGAGAGAGAGAGAGAGAGAGAGTAAATTAGTTTTAAAAAGTGTAATTAATTATAAATATAGTAAGTAGTAGTTTTTGGAGGGTAAATAAGAGAGAGATTCGGGTAAAAAGGTTTTATGTATGGATGTGGATGAAGGTGTAGGTTTGTTGTGGAAGTCAAGAACGCACCAGATAAAATCCTTGATCTCTGACAATACTGTCAGAAAGTGGGGCCCTGTCCAGTCAGCAAGGTTTGTGGTTCGGGCATTGACTTCTTCTGCTTAATGCTGTGTCTGTCAGACGGCGTCGTTTCGCTTGCTTTTCAATTCTTATTTTTGTTAAGATGAATCATTATGACTCTAAATTTAATGCTTTTGGTCAATTTCCTTTTCTACCCTTCTTCAATTTTATCCATAATATTTTAGAATTTGATTTTTTTCTTTCAATTTTAACTTTAATATTTCCATTTTTTTGTTTAAAAAAAAAAATTCAAAATCAATTTTGAGTTCCTATCCTATTTTTTTTTTCTTATCAATTCCATTCCATGGGTTACGGTATTAATGCGATGTATTTAATTTATGAAAAATACTTTTTGATAAAGTTTGAACCATATTCTTAAATAATTATGATAAAGTATATTGGTTCATAAATTCTTATCGATTTAAAATTTTACAAAAAAATTAGTGATACATCTTTTTACATTAAGCTCGTACGAATTTTGTTAAAAAGAATATTCATACACATTTTATTTATAACCATTTAAATTTTACAATTTGCAAACTCCAAACCTCAACTAAAAAATCACATATTACGCTTCTCTTTTTTACTCCCGATCCTTCCCGCCAGAAACTCGCCTTTCCCGCCGGGAAACCGCTTCAACCTCCGGGTACGTATTCGTCTCTTCCGAATACCGCTTATCATTCTCATTTTCCATACTCTTTTTGCTCTGATTGATTTGAGAATGGCTTTCGATCTCCAAGTAACTAGTCTGAGAACTCGGTTTTGTCTCGTTTGTGATCAGCCTGCGGCTCGTCGAAGGCTTGATTCTGTGTGTTGGTGATCATGACTATGACCTGAGATTATTTTTCCGGATTTGGATTTCCTTCGTGGTTCTGATATTTTTCGGCGAAGTGATCACATACGGAGGCGTGTACGGAGTGATTTCGGCATGAGATGGTACTGATTCCGACTCTTTGTTTTTTTGCTCGGAGTATGAACTTTCTTGTAGTCACACAAGATTGTTATTCGCTTCTTTTCAAGCTGATCGCTCTCTTTCCTCATGTTCGCTGAGATCTTGTACATTGTTTGGTTTCAGAAAAGTATCAGAAACGACAAGCAATTTTTGTTTCCGTTCTTCACTAAAAAATTCTTGCCTCTTTTATGCAGCTTTCTGACTCGCAGAAAGTCTAAAGAGGAAATGGTTGAGTGGATGAACTTTTCTCCGGCTCGAAGCTTTAGAAACTCTTTGTTTTTATCCATCTATTCATCTAATTTTGAATTTAATTTTCGGTTGTGTTTTTCCTCTAAAACTAGGACGCTGGATTTCCGTTTGAACTGTGAAGAACTTAATTGTATTTTAAAACAGATTTAACATAATATTATGTTGAGGTCAAACGCTTGCATTTTAGCAACATCTCATTGAACTGTTGTTTTCATTAATTATAATTCTGTCTCGTGCGGTACAAGTTCAGGTGCACTTACTGGTGAACATTAGCATGTTGGTTTGCCTCTGCTCTGTCTGTGTTCCGTGATAAGAATTGTAACTGACGTGCCTGAGTTTAGCTGATATAGTTTTAGATGAAGCTCGTGAATCTGTTCGATTAAGTGTTTTTTTATCCAACTTGATCAAGTGAAATAGGTAATAACTGCAATTCTATTACCTACAATTCTACGAGCATGTGTTGTAAGTTTTGATTTGATTTGGTTATTTGGATTAGATTTGATTTGGTTATTTGAATTAGGTTTAGTCTTACCAAATTTAGTCATATCGGAATTTGATATGGGAATGTTTTGTGTGTCACATTGTATTTCTTGAGTGACATATTGGTGAGAGTCTATATTTGTTTTTTAGTGATTGGTTACTATCAGTGGATGTAGGGGAACTTCTTCTCTCCGAACTAGTAAATATCTTGGTGTCTTCTTTTGTAATTACTTTGATTAGTGTTGTGAGTAGATTTGTTCCGCTTTTAGAGCTTGTTGTTCCTCAATAGCTTCTCAAGTTCAAATATTGTACAAAATCAAAACTTGATTGGTGTTGCGAGTAGATTTGTTCCCCTTGTAGAGCTTGTTGTTCCTCAATAGCTTCTCAAGTTCAAATATCGTACAAAATCAAAACTGAAATTTAGTCCTTTGCTAGTTGTACAGCCACATTTGCTATTTCATCCTGATTATAGTGTTGACGGGTGGAAGGACGAATCTACATGACCAGAGAGTCTAAAAATAGCATAAGTTTCTTTAACGAAAAAGGATTCAGCGAATGAAAACCGAAGCTGTTGCTGGGACAGTTACCGTAACAAATATGTTGAACAGAAGTGACGGAGATGCTTTAAGAGCTTCCCGTAACAAATATGTTGAACAGAAGTGACGGAGATGCTTTAAGAGCTTCGATATCTCGTGGCAAGAAATTTCACGACGATATGGATTCATTTTCCTGGCCGAATGGTCCTTCTAATAGGAATAAAGACTTTTCAAAGAGAAAAATTGATAAGTTTCACTGCAGTGATCTAGAATGGACTGATGAGATTCCAGAATGTCCCGTGTATCATCCCTCAGAAGGGGAATTTGAGGATCCTCTGGTTTATTTGCAGAAGATTTCTCCGGAAGCCTCCAGATATGGTCAGGTACCCTATTTTTTTCTATGCAAATCATAATCCATGCCATATCTTAATTTTTTATGGATCTGAGAGCTAAAAATGATAATATTTTAGTTAGGCATTGCAATCCAGATATGGTCAGACACCCTATTTTTTCTATTCAAATCGTAATTCCAAGCCATATCTTAATTTTTTATGGATGTGAGAACTTTAAATAACAATGAGTGCTAGCAAGGCTTGAAATTTGGGATGTGAGAGCTTTAAAACATCAAGTTGTGTTCACTCGCATACTGCTTTGAAATTTGGGATATGCGGTACTAGTGGTGGAATAGAATTTGGTTTTGGTTATTTTGTGATGTTTAAAAACATTACCTATTATTCATATTCATTCATCATTATTATTATTTTTGTTTAAACAAACGCTTCTCTATGAAGATTACGGACTTCGCTGAAAATTTTGAAGTCTCGACTGATCACTTTAAATGTTTGAATATGTAATTATCGTTTTCAATTCCTCAATACGTTTGATCACTGCCTTCTCATTATCACTTGGCTTGGTTTGTCAGTGATCGTTCTATGTATTTTGTTATATTGCTATTACACAGCACAAATTTCCACACTTGGACATTGTGTATAAACGTAATGTATCATATGCCTGTTGACCTGAGACCACTTATCGTATTAAATTTTATTGATTTCGTTAATGCATAATAGAGATGGCCATTTGCATTGTTAAATAAACATTGTGGATTAATTGTTGATAGCTGTGAGCCTGTGACTACTTGTGATTGTGTGGGATGAGTCACTTTTTGTTTTTAGTTTTCTTTCTTGGTTGAGTTATAGACTTGGCTTTCTTTTGTAGGGATTTTCTCTTAGCTCTTCTATCTCTTCTGTAAGTTCTCGAAGACTTTCATCATTCCCGCTGAAATATTTTCATGACTTTTTTACTTCCACAGACCTTTTCCCTTATTTACATAATCAAGGTTTCGCCCGTTTTTAATCATTTAATGGATTTGTTCGGTACAGAGGCGTTCCAACCATTTTAGTGCTCCCATTTTTAAAAACATTTAGTCTGAACATTATCAAAATGTGTCCTTAAATTATCGTTAGCAATTCTGGATAAGCTGAGCTTCATACAGGTTGAACTAATGAGACATGATACTCCGAAAGTTGCAATGCTTTAGTTTCTTACATGACTTGGGTTGGATCCTTCAGGGAATTACTGAGCCAATGCTATATATTGGAATGCTGTTTAGTATATTTGCCTGGCGCATGTGGAGGATGGTTTCCTGTATAGGTACGTTACCAAAATAGTCAAGATTTTCAGTAATCAGTACTACCCCTGGGATGATTAATGATTTTCATTGTTTCTTTATGGTTCCTTTGTGGAGCATCAAAAACTTGGTATTGTATTCCAGATGATGCGGCTTTGAGATTTGAGAACGTTGTCAAAGAAAATGTGTACAGAGAGGATATTCTGTCAGCAAATGGTGAGTATGGAGCTTTTGATGTTCTTTCGGGAAAAACGGCATTGTTTCCTCCAAATATTCTGCTGAAGAGTATACCATGCTGGCTTTAATCATGGTGAGACATTCTAATCATTATCCTGTATTTTTTTTCTTGCACCTTATCCAATTATCGACATTTTTTCTTAGTTTGTAACGGGCAGTCTTTTCTTTTTCCTCTTCAAATCTATAGGCTTCAATTGTGGTGAAGCTGTGAACTTCGCCATTAGCTATTGGTTTCCTTTGGGTACTCTGGCTAGCCAGTGCATGCCCTTCTTAATTGAGTTCCTCTACTCACTCGCGAAGAACTTTTGTGTAATGAAGCAATGCTTCTACACACAAATTTAGAACTTGAAGATTCAGTTCATTCATTCGTGGATCAGTCTATCACCATTCCCTCAAGCTATCTCTTATGAGTCCGATTCGCTTCCACAATTGTGCTCGGTAGTTACTCATGAAATCCAGGGTGTGAACGGGGATTTCTCCAAGGTCCCATGGCACTATCCTCTGCAGTGTATGCATATGTCTGTTGCAGCTGTTATGGACATCATGTGTGCCTTTGCCATGGTATACTTCCTCGTTTTCTGCTTGAGAAATATGTTTGACATCCTATCAAAAAATGACTAAAATAAATTGAAATGTTACACATATGTTTGATATTTTGTTTAAAAATGATCGACCTCGTTTATTTTTTCTTCTGAATGATGTATGTTTATATTGGGTCGTTGACTCTTTTGGCGTACAAAACTGACAAAGAGGAACGTATCACTTCGAAACTTTCATGTCTATCTATTAATTATCATCTTGAGGCTGTTGACTACAGCCTGCAATGAAGTATATATATATATAGGCAGGATTTTGACGAGTGGCGCCGCTGAAATATGTAGAACTGAAATGTCTGAGACTTCACGACGTCCAAAGCCAAACATTGTAAGATTTTGCTGTTTTCTTGAGATCTGGTTTTCGTTTCGTTTACAAAATTATTGACATTTCTTCAAAAAAAAAAAAAAAAGGATTGGAGGAAGGCCCACATTTTGATTTAACTGAAGTCTCATCTGTTGCTTCCTTCCAAGCAG